GTTATCTTATCGTAGTGAAAATTTTTTTATTCTGCATAACTTTCCGAGGACTACAACTTTGTTTATAGAAATTTTTTCAGAATTTATAATAAAATGTGAAAAGTAAAGCTAACGTTATTCTCAAAACCCCTTATATTCAAATATATTTTATATTTTGAAAATTTCTTCCTAGTAACAGTTGTAGTATTCAAAAATTTATGTAAAATATAAAAAATCACTACAATTGGATTATGGAGCACAAAGTTATGATCGTTTAAAATTTGAAAAAATCGAAAAATGTTATTTGCTACTCCAAACGACCAATTTTTTTATATTTGCCAAACTTTGTAAGATCATAACTTTGTGCTCCGTAATCCAATATTCGCAAAGTTTATTTTTATTTTGCATAAACTTTTGAGTCCTACAACTTTTACTAGGATGAAATTTCCAAAATAGAAAATCTTTTTTGCTATATGAGATTTAGAGAATAAAATTAACTTAACTTTTCATATTTCCACGTACATTCTGAAAATGTTTCTATGAAAAAAGTTGTACTACTCAAAAAAAAGTTATGCGGGAGTTCCCAAATTTAGCATTGATGGAGTCGGCTCCGTGCTCTTTCCCTTCTTTTTATTTTTAATTTTAGGCTGATTAATAATCTGGGAGTTTCGCGGGAAGTAGAGAGCCTCATGAGCTGTGTTGTCTGGATCTCAGTAATAAATAATAATGCACCCAACCAACAAGAATGGATGACTGATTGTTGCTCTAAACTAAAACACGGACTCAAACCTAACCAAGGAGCCAAAATTCTGCGAGCAGTTGAATGATTTTTGGACCCAATATTAAGTTATTAACACAGTATGATTCGAATAATTAGCCAGCTCAGCTCTCTATAGTTTATTGTCGGAAATACGACCCTCACTGCTCACCTGTTTTTTTCTTTTCGGCAAAATTTTGCTCACTTCTTTTTGACAAGTCTAAATGAATATGTTTTTGGTGGTAGAAATCCAAAGGGTTGAACATTCTTTTTTACTGCATAAATTATGTAGCAGAATATGTTGCTATTTTAGAATGCACTCCTTTTGTGGAAAAGCATGGGTTTTAGGTACCTTGTACTATTCACTTCCATATCTAGTGCACTTTGATCACATTGGAATAAAAACATTTTGTAAGGAAATGATTAACTATCATATATGAACCTCTCTAAACAACTCGAGTTATTGAGAACAGTTGGTTTATGACATTGTATTAGAGTTGGTTTTCAATGAGAACACACGTTCAAGTCCTAACGACCCCCAATATTAACTGTTGTCTTAAGTACATGGTCTGGCGGGTCTATGCAAACTTCAAGCCCATGAATCGACTTTCGTTTGAGGGGGGTGTGTAAAGAAGTTGTTAAGTACCATACATGGACCTCTCCCAACTCGAGTTATTGAGACCAGTTGATTTAGGACACATTTAGATTAATACATGTATCAAACATAAGTGCACTTTTAGTGTTTCTTTTTCTTTTAAATAATGAAATAAATAGCTGGATAGCTTCAGATTTAGCTTCAAACAGACGGGGTAGTGGTTATTTAACTAGCTTTAAAACTCTAGAATCTAGCAAGCTGGGAAAATAAAGATAAGGGCCGCTCACTGACCTCTTACGAAAAGGTCATGTCCCTCATTGACTCATGCCCATGCTCATAATGAACTTGGTGATTTGGCCTTAAAAGTCAATATCCATGAAACTCAACTTAAATAACATTAGTTATTATAATTGATGTGGCATTATAAAATTGAAAATTACCTTGTAATTCATTAATGTGTACAAAATAATTTTTAGGTGTAAACACATTCATTCCCACCTTATGAAACAAAGGTGGGTTGGAATATGTGAAGGCTGAGAGTAGACTAGTAGAGGCAACAAGGTCAGTCAAGGGGTCTTCTTCTTCGTGTCTGATTCTCTTCTCCAGTTGTGGTTATCACGGTAGATTGGACTTGGCAGAGAGAGAGAGAGAGATAGATGGGTTGACATAGAGAGATTGGGTTCAGGAAAGAGGATTTGTTGGAGGCAAAGGTGTTGAAGTAACAATGGTCGGCAATTTCGTTAGTGGGGAAGTAATAGAGAGTTGTTTGGTTGATGTGTTGAATTTGAATTCAAAATAGATAATCATGTAATTTACGCATTCAATTATGTTTTTGGTGGAATTTTGCGTGATCAATACATCCTGACATCAAGAACACAGAAAATTATCTTACGGGTTCACACCTCTTCAAACACTGTTCGAACGAGGGTGTTCGATGCATACATCCAAGGATCTACTTACTGTTGCCTCTACTCCTATGGAGATTTCTTGAGAGCTCCGCAACTACTAACTACAACTAACAAAGAAACCTCATGGAGGGTCCCTGTTTCTAGTGTTAGGTTACTGTTCTAGAGAGAAAAAGATAAATTTTAACAAGACTGTTTGTGATTTGATTTGTCTGTCCTTCTCCAGAATCTTGCTGCCAGTTTAGTTGTGTCACGCCCTCTAATCGGGTTCTGTCTCTCTTCCATAAAATCAGATCCACGTAGCATCCAGTAACTCCTCCGAGCGTCCTTTGCAAGTCAGTTTCCGCTTATGGTACACGTCATCATGTCCCTGGACAACCAACCCTACGTACCATGGATGCACAATTAGATGGCCACCATATACCAAATAACTTGGATGGTATCCATGTTGTTGGATTGCACCATCCACTTTGAGTTTGGATGGTGTCCATTATATTTGGGATGGTGTCCTTGATCTTGGATGGTACCATCAATCATAGGGTTTGGATGGTGTCCATGATGTTGGACACTACCATCCATATTGGGATTTGGATGGTATACATGATGTTGGACACTACCATCCATATTGATATTTGGATGGTATCCATAGTGTTGGACACTAATATCCATATTGGAATTTGGATGGTATCCATAATGTTGGACACTACCATCCATAATGGGACGTTATCCAATTGAATCTTTGCTGCCAACGTGACTAGCAATTCAAACCCCTTAATCAAAATTGTTCCTCGTCATGCTACCGCTTGCTTTGCTCCCGTACACATTATATGTGCCCAACTACCTTTGAACACCCTGACATTCATTCTGTGCAAACCGACATTTGTCTCGCCCATCGAAACACATCCTAAACCATGCTTTGTGTTCTTGTAGGAGAAAAAGATCTGAAACCTCTATGGTGAACCGGTGGCGCTCCCTTAATGAAGAATCAATGGGATTCACCCTTGACCCTCTTATTTTGAAGGAGAATGGAGAAGGATGGCTAGGTCCAGCCATCTTCTCACCTGATGCAAATCATGTGATTCTGTATAACACATACCCGATGTCCCAATCACCAGTCCTCCATCGTATAAACCTGACGGAGAACCAGAAGTCATTCTTTGGGGATAGGCCAAACCAGAAAAAACTAGTTCATTCTTGGCCCTTATGTGATCCTGGCTTCAAAGAATGGTATACACGCCTCAAAGGAGATGCAACCACAGTCAATCAATGGCACCACGCTGACATCACTCACTTCCTCTCCTTGTGCGCCAGTCCTCCCAATCCTGATGCGAAGCTATTCAAAGCCGCTACGCGCTTCTGGTCGACTGAGTCCAATTGTTTCATCTTTCGATTTGGGACTATGACCGTGACCCTACTAGATATAGTTGCTCTCACTGGCATCACGCGTAACTGTCCTCTTCCCAGTCTCCTTCTAGGCGTGATGCTCCGGATTCGCCGATAGCTTTCAGCCAGACCTACAAATCACTACCAGATAAATTGTGTATCTAGTAGGCCCATTAGTGATGTCGAGCGAGTGGCATTCCTTCACTATTGTCTCTATACGTTCATCATATGCTCCAGCCAAAACTGCCCAAAAACAGGTGTTGTCACCACATACAAAATAGCACGTGGGGAATATGAGAACCTTGTTGAGATGGTGTTTTGCTGGCTTTATCGTGGCATGCACACATTGGTGAATCAAATTCAAAAAGGGGAAGAAATCTCATGCACCGCCCCTCTCTGGATAATACAGCTTTGGTTGTATGCTTACTTCCCGGTGATGCACTGCAGCTCCTTGCCTCTCCTCAAGAGATCTCAATTGACACCACCATACTCACTCATGGGCACTACTTTGCAGAGGCAACATCGAAGAGGAAAAACTTCTAGTTCTACTTCACCACACTCTACGAAGCTAAAAAGGTAGAGACATTCACACCTATCGAGACATACACCTTTGGGCCATCATTATTTATTCGTACATTCCCTAGTGCACCGCAAGGGAATGAAGCTTCTGAAGATGCCTATCTGGCATGTAGAGCAGTGGTCTCAATGGATAGTTGCAAGGGGTATCCCTTTTGACCCCACCACGACATCAACTTTTAGTGTGGAGGTGTACAATCCACACTTTGCAACTCGTCAATTTGGCCTAGTACAGACATGGCTAATGCCGGTGCCGTTCTCTTACAACCATCCACACTTTCATCAACGGAAACCACTCAACCTAAAGGAAATCGTTGGACTACGGGAATGCCACAACCTCTTGATCCCCAATGTTTTTAAATGCTTCAAAATCACGCCAAACAAGGTTGTGCCCCGCCTTTAAGATTTGTGGTCCAAAAATATGAACCAGCTCCGCATGGTCATGATGGAAACCTACTTTCTTGGTTTAACCATAATTATCAATATTAATATTATTAGGATTTATCTAGATATATTTATTAGTCTTTGAGCCATATTAGGATAGTCTATTAGGTTTTTCTAGTCTTTCGCTATAAATATGTAATTGGTCTTTCATTCATAGGCAGTCAAGAAGAAGAATATTAAGAAAACCTTCCTAAACCCTAATCTCCCTAACCTCTCAGTTCTCGTTCTCAATCCCTCTAAAGGCCTAGCCCGATTCTCTATCTTTCTCTTCTTAAATCCCTAATTATGTTCTTAATCCCTAAATCCCCAATTCCCGATAGAACCCTAATCCCAGGTTCTATCAATTAGTATCATAGCCAAAATGAGCTCCTCGTGGCTCTTTGATCCAGTGTGGACCCGTATCATACAAAAACTTGATGCTATTTGTGCTGACCAAGCCGCAACTGTGAGCGCACGCGGCAGGGGAGCAGAGGCGGCGCCCGGCACGGCGGGGCTGCCCAAGGCGCGGGCAAGACAGGCGACGGCAGGGGCGCAACCGCGCGAGGCGCTGCGCGTCGCGGCGGCGGCCAACGGGACGGCGCTGCTCCAGGAGGACGGCGGACCGAGGCGGCTGTCGACGAAGGGCGACCGCGGGGTTGCGACTGTTGTGGCGGCACGGCAGGGGGAGGCTCCGCTGGCCGAGATGGCGGATCGGCGGCGGGCATCGCCGAGCGCAGCGGCAAGTGAGCCGCAGCTGACGACGATGATCGGCGAGGGAGTAGCAGTTCTCACTGTCGTCGCTCCTACTTTTGCCGCTGCTGTAATCTCAGAGGAAAAGGGGTCGGGTGTGGCGTCGACCGTTGCGATGGAGCCGGCTGTTGGGGTGATGGCGACAAGGGCAAGGCCAGAAGTATGTCGATCCCCAGCTCGGCCGCCGGTCGATCCGCCGCCAAGGAAGAAGGAGACGAAGGTGAAGAATTCGATACCAGAGATGGTGAAGAAGTAGACGGCGGATGCGGGATGGCCTCCGTGCTGCCGGGGGAGATGCTTGCAGAAGGAAAGAGAGCTGATGTACATGGAGTGGAAGAATGGCGGCGGTTTTCTTTCATCTGGAACCCTAGACCGCACCATCCAGCATGCCGAATTCGTGGGCCAAGATAAGCTGGCCGAAAAATCAAATGAGGGACGGGTGGGCCTGATTATGGAGGTGAGCAACTGGAGCTTGGGTTTCGGGATGGGCCAGCCGAACCAGCCTACTGGAGTTGGAAATTTGGCGAATTGGGATCTATCATGTTTCGGGCCGCGTCTACAGGCTTTGATTGGGCTTCAACTGGGCTGTTTAGTTGAATCTCATAATTATGGAATGGGCTTGAAGGAAAAAGAACAAAAATTCGTAGGCTTAAATGGTAGGTCCTAGGAAGAACAACTCTATGATTCTTACTTTGTGGAGCTTGAAAAAGAGGGTGGAGAGTCCTTTGACCATGGTTGCGGCACGAGTCACGTGGGTAAGGAAGAATCCATGAGAGCCGAGGTTGTTGGCATGAGATTTGTTCGAGTAGTGGAGCGCGATTGGAAGAAAAGGAAGCGCAAAACACGACACGAGTTGGTCAACCTTGAGGGCAAGGTTGGTTTTCAAGGGGGAGGGGATGATGGAAACCTACTTTTTAGGTTTAACCATAATTATCAATATTAATATTATTAGAATTTATCTAAATATGGTTATTAGTCTTTGAGCCATATTAGGATAGTCTATTAGGATTTTCTAGTTTTTCGCTATAAATATGTAATTGGTCTTTCATTCATAGGCAGTCAAGAAAAGAATATTAAGAAAACCTTCCTAAACCCTAATCTCCCTAACCTCTCAGTTCTCGTTCTCAATCCCTCTAAAGGCCTAGGCCGATTCTCTATCTTTCTCTTCTTAAACCCCTAATTTTGTTCTTAATCCCTAAATCCCCAATTCCCGATAGAACCCTAATCCCAAGTTCTATCAATTGGTATGAGAGTCGTCGCCTGCCTGGCCCGTGCCTTGGGCAGCCCCGCCGTGCCGCGCGCAGCCTCCGCTCCCTTGCCGCGTGCGCTCACCGTCGCGACTTGGTCAGCGCAAATAGCATCAAGTTTTTGTATGATACGGGTCCACACTGGATCAGAGAGCCACGAGGAGCTCATTTAGTTGAATCTCATAATTATGGAATGGGCTTCAAGGAAAAAGAACAAAAATTTGTAGGCTTAAATGGTAGGTCCAAGGAAGAACAACTCTATGGTTCTTACTTTATGGAGCTTGAAAAGAGGGTGGAGAGTCCTTTGACCATGGTTGCGGCACGAGTCACGTGGGTAAGAAGCCATGAGAACCGAGGTTGCTGGTATGAGATTTGTTCGAGTAGTGGAGCGCGATTGGAAGAAAAGGAAGCGTAAAACATGGCACGAGTTGGTCAACCTTGAGGGCAAGGTTGGTTTTCAAGGGGGAGGGGATGATGGAAACCTACTTTTTAGGTTTAACCATAATTATCAATATTAATATTATTAGGATTTATCTAGATATGGTTATTGGTCTTTGAGCCATATTAGGATAGTCTATTAGGTTTTTCTAATCTTTCGCGATAAATATGTAATTGGTCTATCATTCATAGGCAGTCAAGAAGAAGAATATTAGGAAAACCTTCCTAAACCCTAATCTCCCTAACCTCTCAGTTCTCGTTCTCAATCCCTCTAAAGGCCTAGGCCGATTCTCTATCTTTCTCTTCTTAATCCCTAAATCCCCAATTCCCGATAGAACCCTAATCCCAGGTTCTATCAGTTTACTAATGCAGCGAGCGACATTTTTCTACGTTTGCTCCCGTCAGGTCACATGGTTGACGTGAACCATGATGAAGAAAGTGCTGAGGAGGATAATTTGCCAAGGCCAAGTACTTTTCGATCGAAGCACTCAATGTGTAAGTACCATCTTTTACTTTATAAATTTACTCTTTTCCCTTGTACTTACTAAACTATGTATCATGACCACAGCCTCCAAAGTCAACGAGGATAGACAAAGACCCAACAAGCATGCAAGGCATTCCTCAAGCTCACAAGTACTCTTATCCCCTCACTTCTTATCATATATTTTTTTCAATTTGTTGACCAAACCAATTAATAATACCTGGTATGAATATGACCAGACTGATGACACTGAATATTATGCGCAAGACCTGGATGACGAGATCATTGACGTTGACTCCATGGGGCTAGATAGGGAAGACTTTTGCAACTCCACCTTGGACACTGTTGATGAACATGGATCTAATCTCTCCCTTGTCCACCAGTCCACCTCAATCGCACCATCAACAAGATTGGTGCTCGCTTTGACTAATGTTGAAGAGCAAGGGTCTCCTCTCGCTTCAACTTACCAAGTGACTGGTACGCCACAAGTTACTACTCCTCCCCGAAGTATCAATGTGCCACCATTGACTTTTGGCACCATCGCTACTGCTCCACTCCTTACGACTCTCAACCAACCAACATCAACAAAAGCTCTTGGTACACCACAAGTCACTGCTCATCGAGGTATCAATATGGCACCACCAACCTTTGGCACCATCACATCCTTTCCAGCCTCAAGAGTTGTTCCTAACATGGATTCAAAAAATAATAGGAGCACTAGCACAATGGATAACACCGTGAGCAACAACTCCAATTCAGCTCATGACCTGGACAAAACTCCTCCAAACAACCTTACAACAACCACTCAGAGTTCTAACCCAGTTGGCACCATGGTAACCAATCAAATCTCTTGTCATTCCACTAACATATGTCATGCGCTAACTCCATGAATTTGTTGTTCTTTTTTTTTAGGTCGTGCCAAGTTTGGCAGAAGTAGAAAAATTATTTGCAATTCTGAATGAGAATGGATCTAGTCAAGCACTGCATTCCTCCAACGATCCACTCACCAGTGCTCTCACAACCATTGGTCAATTCCTTTCTCTCCAATTTGATGAAGTTGCCATCACTCTTGAGAACAACTGGCCTGATGCAGCCTTTAAGATGTTGGAGAGTGTTCCTATAGACAAGATACCATCAGGACTTGACCTCAATGACATGCAGCTGCTGCAACAAACCGGATCACAAGTTCTTACATGCCTCGTAAGTGCACAAAAGGAAAACCAACGACTAAAAGAGTATGGGGAAAAGGAAGTAGCACTTCAAGACACCAACAAATCCCTTCAGGACAACACGGAAAAATTCAACACCACATCCTCCAAGCTTACTTCCTATGCGCAACAACATGAAGCTATACAACAAGGGATCTGCTCGCGCCACGTAAGGATAGCCGAATTGCAGGAGATGGCGAAGCTACAAGGAGAGGTGCAGCCTTTGCAGAAGGATATGGACAATGGTCGAGCTCAACATGGTCAACTAGAGGCAAACATCCCTACCCTTTCGGTGGAGACCAAAGTTTTGGTTATGCAAAAGGCGGCGTTGAGTGATGACCGACTAGCGATCCACAAGTTCGAGGTCACTCAATTGCATCAGGCTGCTGATAGACCGTTAATTACACATGTTTTCACCCCTGTTCTTACATCGTTTCAGATGTGGTTTCTCGTGTTTTAGGCCGATTTCACGCTAGGTTGTGCTTGTTTGTGATATTTCAGGTCCTAGTACGTGAATGGAGGCTTGGGAGCGAGTTTGGGGTCGATTGGACGAAGATCGGGCGCGAGGCAAGTCACAAAGGAGGCCACACGGGCACACCCACAACTCACACGGCCGTGCAAGTGACCACTTTGGCCGTGTGAGATTGTACGAGAGCAAACACGGCTTGCCCTGATGTTCACACGGCCGTGTGAAGGAGTGGTTTGGCCGTGCGAGTTTCGCCGAGAGCAAACACGGGCAGATGGAAATCCCACACGGCTGTGCGACCCTGGCCGTGTGGGAAGCCTGAATTTCGACTTAATGATACGCCGCGTTTTGACTCGCACGGGCAACTGGGTGAGCCACACGGTCGTGCGGCCTGCCCGTGTGAGTCGGGAATTGCTGGTTAAAACCCGATTTTCAGCCAAAGGAAAGGGGAGAGCTGGGTTTTGGATCCCAAACACCCAAGGGACGAACCCTAGAGAGAGAGAGCGACTTGGTAACATTCTTGGAGCTATTTTGGAGGATTTCTTCGCCATTGGAGCTCGGGAATCAAGCTTGGAGATGGAGATTGAAGATCTAGATCAGATTTCTGCAGTCTCTCTCTTCTCTATGGAGTAACTTCCTGATAACGATGTAATTGCACGAATTTGCGCCCCTAGTTCTTATCCGTTTGAGGGGCATAGTCGTGTATTTTTGGCCTATTTTACGCCGGGTTGTGCTATTTTGTCATATTTCAGGTCCCAGGCGTCAAAGGAAAGGCTAAGCACGAGTTTCGGGGCATTCGGAAATCATTTTAGTGAGCTGGAGCCAAAACACGGGCGCACCTAAAACAGAACACGACCGTGTTCTGTGACCGTGCTTTTACTGCCGAGAGCTAATTCGAGTTTGAACCACATTGGCCAAAACACGGGCAGGGCTGAGATAGAACACGGGTGTGCTTCACCAAAGCACGGTCGTGTCCTCCCAAAAGCACGGCCGTGTTTCTCCTAGTGTAATTAACACTAGCCAAAGCACGGGCGGGCTGAGGCATTACACGGTCGTGCCCTCGATCGTGCTTTTGCCAGTGATGCCTTTTTAAGCAGATTTTCAGCCAAAGAGAAGGGGATTCGAGTTTTTGAGATAGATAACGATTCCTAGAGAGAGAAAGCGACGAACAAGAGTCTCTAAGTGCCCTAGATTGATCTTCAACACCATTGGAGGCCAGTTTGAGCTTGGAGAAGTGCCCATCAACGTCCAGGAGCAGGAATCCATCCTTCACAGTATGAATTCCGCGTCTGATTCTGCTTTTGCTTCTTTCTCCATGGAGTAGTTCTCCCATTCATCTGGGTATGGAGAACCCTAGATTTGTATGCTAGGCTTGATTGTATGAACCCAAGTACTGATTCTATGATTTGATTATAT